CTGTGAATACTGGATATTAACGCTGTTGTTGCTGCTTGTTGTTTGCTGCTTTCTCAGTGCCATTGAGAGCAATGCTGGATGAAGTCCGCACGAAGCTCCTCGAGCTCCGAACGCAGAAGCGGGAGGAGAGTCAGAAGTACAAGGAGCTGCTGGAGAGGCGGTGCGTGGCTAGAATATTTAACATTTGTTTCCTTCTTTTTGCTTATTTAATATAAATAAATCTTTTTCTCGGGTTTAATGAGGTTTTATTTTGCCTGGGGTTTGCATTGCTTCAGACAGAGAGCGACGGCGCCGGGTCGTGAAATGATTGAAGAGAGAGAACGGCTATCGGCAGAGATGAGCAAACATTTTGCAAATGTACGTCTCCAGTATTCTATACATTCCCTTTATTATATATGTAATATATATATATATATATATATATATATATATATATATATATATATATATATATATATATATATGTATATTTCTATATATTTATATGCACGCATTCTTATGTTCTGTTGAACTGGATCGTTTCCGTGTGCATCAGTATATTTGATGAATGTGCATTTAGAAAGACCTTTACATCCACTTCAGTTTTTTTGTGTGTTTTTTCTTCTCAGCGCCGCGAGATTCAAGCTGAATTGACGCGCGAGGTAATGCAATACTCAGAGTTTTGTTAAAAAAAATTTTGTTACAAAGTCGAACATCTACAGGAACAGAGCTTCCTAGGAGCATTCAGTTCACCTGCAGCGTAGCGTAAGCTTATGTCTAGAGTTGTATACTGATGTTGCTGTTTTTTTATTCGCAGATGCAGAAGCATCAGGCTTATATGCAGCAAGTGAAGCGCGAGCGGGGTCTCAAGGTAAGAAGAAACTCTTTGGGAATTTCATGGGGACTGACATGGCAGCACCTAGTATGCAGCAACAGCAGCGTGAACACCCACTGCTGCTGCTGCGGTTGCGGGAGTGGTTGTCGCTGCGGTTGCTGCTGCAGATACAGCGTAGCTGTTGCTGTTGTTTGTGAGCTATACGCAACCTGATTGTTTCGTGTACAGCAGGGATAAGCTTAATACCATCCGCCGTGTGAAAACATTTCGCAGATGAGAGAGGAGCGCGAGAGACGCAACCTGGAGAACGAACGTTTTCAGCTCCAGCGTGATTTGGAACGGGTGGAGTCTGAGCTGCCGTACGAGGCAGAATGCTTGCTGCTGAATCAGACAATTCAGTACTTGCAGAAGATCATTGAGGAGCCGGCATCCAATGGCGTTGAGAAGGAGCAGACAGAGCCGGCGGTGGACGAGAGTGTAAGTGCCGAAAGTTTTAGAGTTTTATATTTTTATTGTAATGCTTTGGGGGAGTTGAAATGCGGCAATGTGGTGTCTCGGTTGCTCCTCTGTGCGTGCATCTTTATGCAGCTTGCGGGTGCTCTTCTACCCAAGAGCCAGCGCAAGGAGGTCTTCTTCTACGCCCCTAAGCAAAAGGGGAAACATGGAAAGGACCATGAGAAGAAGAAGGAAAAACCCAAGACACTGAAGTATGATGTGGGCACCCTGGCCTACTTCGAGCAATGCGGAGTAAGCGGAATCTTCGTTTCTGAAACGTCTCTCTGTTGACAGTGCAGTTTTTCTTTAGTGCTAAGAATAATAAAAGTTGCATCGCATGCGCTTTCTGATATTCCTTTGCTTGCGATCAGCTGACGGCGCCAGTCTTGATCGAAGATGTACCCGTGTGCTTGGAGAAACTTAGAGCGAAGCTGCAGAACTACAAAGAGTTGCAGCAAGAGAGCGCTCAGAAGGTGAGTTCCTCATCGTTCCCAGAGCTATCACATCCTCTGGTTTGTTATATTGCATTCGTCGTGTTTATATTTACGGTTTAGTGCTTAGGTTTTAGGGTTGTGTATTGGCTACATGCGTTTCCTTTGAATCTGCTATTTTGCTTGGTTTGGATCAGGTTGATGAACGCAAGGCGGAAATCATGACAAAGATTCAGGCAGTGGATGAGAAGATAGCGAACCTCGTGAAGAAGGAAAAGTTGCAGGATGATCGAGACGGTGAAACTGCTGAAGATGGATCTCCCACAGCGGAGGAAGCCGATGATGAATGAACAGATACTGCTGGCACATATCTATCAGACTTAGCCATTGTGCCGAGTCATAGAGCCATGAAATCTCAAAGTTTCTTTTCTAGATGGATCCTAACGCCGCTAGATGCCTACCAAATGAGGCAGCTACTCGGGCTTCTGGGTTATCACTCTTCGGTGCAGACGCCGGAGACTTTTGGTGGACTAATATCTTTCCCTTCAACTGTTTGCGCCCCAGTGCGTGGTTGCAGCTCGCGTCAACTTCTTTTCTTTTGGCTCGGGGGCAACGAAAAAAGCCAACTCAATGCGAACTACCTTTTGATGCATGCCTATTCGTTTCGAGGCGCTACGTGACAGCCACTTCGGAACTTGAAATCCGTCGTTACTTTAACCCAAATTTGGGTTTTTAGGTTTGGGTTTTTAGTTGTTCGCCAGGTTGCTCACTATTTGCCGCTCAGGGGATACGAGCTTTTTCCAGTGTTAGAGCTCCCCACGCTACCGTTGTCTCAGAGCGGGCCCAACGACACCGCATATGGGGTTTCTTGTAACATCTCTTACGGTGCCGTGAGCTGGCTGTGGTGTGGGTGAATAGAGCGAACAGGCGCATAGTGGAGATGCGAGTGTTTGGAACACTCTTTTATTTGCTTTCGAGGTAGCTTACTTGCTCCTATGTTAAGCAGATAAACAATGATTTCCGGGTCTTTCAGGTGATATCTGCAATTCCTGTGGCTGTAGCCGGGGAAGTTGAAATGGCGTGTGACCAGCTTGCCTTGGGGCATAACACCACTTGAATTTTGCTGTTAAATAGGAGGTTCTGTCTTTATTCGTCCGTATTAATGTTAATTTCGTTTTGTTTGCGTAGATTATTTTTCGTGGGGAAGCATTTGCTGTCGTTAACCCAAGAGCGTTCTCACGCAAGGCTGTATGAATGCAAAGAAAATGGGGCTCAATGAAATTATGCTATTTCCTGTTGCTTTTCTCTGCCAGCATTAGCCTTTAGATCAATAAAGTTACATTGAATGCAACATTAACAATTTGGTTTAGCTAATTTGTACTTTACGAATGAGACAAGATTCAAAAGATCCGGTGACCCGGAATCGAACCAGGGACCAACAGATAGCCGCAGCATCTACAGTCTGCCGCTCTACCAACTGAGCTATCACCGGTGATGAAAAAGCCGTCGAAGCAGAACGTAATTGAGCAAAATATAAATTTGGAGTTTCATTGACTGTTCTACCTGCAATATCTACAAAAACTTGAGTGTTTATGATTTGAATTAGCTCTATATTGCGGCCGTTTCACCCCAGCCCTGAGAAGAGGCATTGTGAGCAGAGGCGTCGTTTCGAGCCATCCGTGTGCCAGACTGACGGCTCTGAACACGGGGAAGCAACTATGTGAAATTGTTCTGAAAAGATCATTCTTTATTCGTGATTTAACAAAGGAAAAGGGATAATCTCAGTAGATTTCCAGCTCTTCTAGCCTGTTCATGTGTGTGTCTCGTCGGCAACATTGTCTCGGAGCTTGACCGGCACCTTAGCTGGCTTGAGGACGAATACTCTCCACTTTTCTTGACTCTCTGAATTAAACGGTAAGCTTACCATTGTTTTCATCTTTATAGTCAAAAGAACTTGCTCTCAGCACTTCTCAGCACTTCTTAGTGGAGGTCTTGCGACCTCGTCGGTGTGCGGGTCCCCCCGCCTTGTATGAATGTATCATCTAGGGATGAATAGCTTCACTGCAAACTGATGCTGGTGTGAGGCTGCTTTGAGTTTTCATTATACTTGCAGCTGTTTTGGAGGAAATCACGAGCCCAATGCTCTGAACGAATCCTGCACGACGGATGCCCGCCCCGCGCGCCTTCTTCTTGCCTGCGGGTAGTACATCCATCACCCAACTATAATCAGAAAAATGACTGCAAATAACCACCCAATGCAAAACGGAGTTGGCTCCTCCCTTGCGGCGGAGGCGGAAGAGGTTTATCGTCAACGACAACAGGTCGAAGAAAGAATGGAGGCGCTTGCCAGTTTCTTAACATCTGACGGTAAGAAACTCCCGGGATTTTCTTGCTTTCCTGAGTCCCTTAATCTCATACAGTCTGTATGCAATGAATGGAGTTGTTTTCAAGATATATGATGCATGCAGCGTCAGCACAGACAGCATAGAGTGGGTGGAATCATAGGAAATGGATGCATATACTGAATGCCTCGTGTTGTTTGTATTTTGAATATCTTTGTTTCAGGTATGCCCGGCCTCGATGGCCCGCTGGTAGACGAAGAAGGTTTCCCCAGAGCAGATATTGATGTGCATGCAGTGCGGGATGCTCGTCATCGGCTTGCTTGCCTGAAGACGGACTATCGTGAGTTGCAGCGACGGCTAGAAGATATTCTTCTGCGTATCCATGAGAATACAGCTACAAGAAATGCTGAAACTGATCAACAAAATATGAATTCAAACTTTCATCACCAAACAAATGGAATAACAAATCACAGAGAAAATGCAGTACCAATTCAAGAAGAGGAAGAACCTCCTCAGCTACTTGAAGGTAAGAGCCAAATTTTTCCCTTTACGTTCCTGATCTTGCTTTGTTCATCACCAGAAAGACCTTAATACACAAGTAATCTATAATAGATATATGTATATGTATTTATATTTTTCATCTCCTTTTGATTGTTGTGTACGTATGCGTTGCAGAAGAGGGTCCAGCATTCGCTGAGGTGGACGTTGTGCATCCCGGTAGTCCCAGCAGTACAGCTGGTATCGTTGTTGGTGATCGAGTTTTGCGTTTGGGTTCATTGCATTTGACGCCAAGTATTCGTCAGTATGAGGGAAACAGTGAAGGGGGGGGGGGTAGTAACGGCGCCTCTACATGTTCAAGCTCGCACACTAGGCCTCTATCAGTGCAGCAGATATTTCAATCGTTGCCTGGAGAAGTTGCACAACATGAAAATTCTCGTATTCCCGTTATAGTTCAACGCGGATGCCGTATTCTTTCTCTATGGCTTGTACCGAGGCGGTGGGAGGGTAGGGGTCTTCTAGGGTGTCATCTGAAACCTCTATAGATGAACCAATGAATGCTCTTATTCCTCAGCGTAAAATATTATAAATAAAAATTTATATGAAATTTATTCATACTTCGTTTCTTTATATCTTCATTTCGGGATATTTTAACTGCGGCAGAGGTGAAACTCAACCCGCCATTCAATACGCAGCAAGCAGTAGATCCTTGCTGTGCCTTTCAAGCAGAACAAACAACAAACGCAATTTAAGTGGTGATAGAAATATATCAATTATATTCACCCTTTTTCTTATTTAAGTCGATTTAAATGTTACGAACATAACATATATGGGCTGTGACTAAACCCGGTGCTTTAGAGTCTAGGGTTTAGGGTTTAGGGTTTAGGGTTTAGGGATTAGATAAGAGGACCTTTGTTGAGGAAAGGAAAGTACATACACAAGAAGGTATTCAGGTTCAAGCAGCTGTGATCTGTATAAGCAGAGCACTGCAACTTTTTTGTGTGTACTTTCTACTGCTGGGGTGTATGCAATAAATACTCTACCTATAAACACCATAGCTGCTTGAACATGAATATTTTTTGCTGCATTGCTCTATGGAAACGATCTATTCAGAAAAAAAAATGAAAGTGAAGGTGTTTAGATGCATACAGCCGGATAAACGGAATACATACACCCCAAGTTGAACTCAAGAAACGGATGCATGCAGAATTTCTTTTTCTTTGATTGGCTGCCATTAGAAAAACGCAAAAAACAGCGATGCAAGCAGACAGCTAAAACGCATGCACTCAAGCTCATCTACTTACTCTTGTTATGTAGCCGCCCGCGTCATGCATGCACCGTTTGTTGAAGTAATAATAACTAGCTAGCTGGTTGTAACTGTAGCTAGCTAGATTCAAGCAATCGCAGCTAGCTAGCAATTTCAGCTAGCTATGCTAAAGGGGTGTTGGCTAGCTGGAGGCAGCCACAGGGGGCCTGGGGGGCGTCACCTGGATTGAGGGAAGGCAAAGCAGTATTACTCAGGAGAGCAGGCAAGCAGGGGAAATATATATATATATATATATATATATATATATATATATATATATATATATATATATATATATATATATATGTAGATAAATCTATATATGATACATAGATAGATAGATAGAAACATAGATAGATAGACAGAGATAGAGAGTGGTATATATGACACTTAGATAGATCGATAGACAGAGAGTGTGGTATCTATGATACATAGTTAGATAGATATAGAGAGAGGTATATATGATACATATATATATATATATATATATATATATATATATATATATATATATATACAGAGACAGAGAGAGAGAGGTATTTGCTGTAAGAAATATCTAATACGATGCAACTTTTGTTAACATTGCATATCTGGTTCAGCAGCGGGAAGAAATTGGCGTTTCTGCACGGAGACAGCAGCTCCTGAATTAAGTACCTCTATATATACATCTCTATAGAAATATATATCTATAAGGTTATATATATATATATATATATATATATGTATAGATATGTATATATATATAGGTATATGGTGCAATGCAGCCAATAAGGCGGGGTGTTAGAGTTGCATTACAGCAGCTGCCGATACAGCATAAACTGTGAATACAACACAAGAACTTTTTCTTTACTTTACATTTATATATTTATATTTATTGGTGAATTGTTGTTTTTCCTGCTTTCGTTCAGTACACAAACAGCTACAAATATATACACATATGTACATAATATATATATATATATATATATATATATA